CCCAGGTGGGGGGGACAGCACCAGCCCGCCTTACTGCGCTGCCGAGGCTCCCGTGACAGCCTACCGTCATAGCTCTTCCTCCCAGATCATCGCTAAAATAACCTTCCACGTAACCAAACCCCAGCACCAACGATTTGGGAGAGCTGAGCTAGCACAACTGAGCGTTTTTGTGCAGCACCAAAAGCCAGCAGCTCTACTGGAAGCTGATCAGGGAGATCTGGAAGAGGGGTGAGAAGTACCCTGTCTGAAGGCTACAGGGTTTGGGAGGGACAGGATCGAACCCAAACACGGGGAACAGTTTCGGGGCTCCTGTCCCTGGATTATCAGCAACCAGGTCACGGGCAAGACCTCAACCCCTGGCAAATGCAGGTTCAAGGCGAGAGGGGGTTTCATCAATTCCCTCTCTTCAGTGACATTCACTGTACAGCAGGTTTTAAGCCACTCTGAAATATCTTCCCCCATTCCACCAAGTTGTAGTTTTTCTCATTTTAAGGTAGGAAAATTGAGGCAGGATATCATCTGCTGACTGGCAGCAGTCAGAACACAAGACGTCAGCTGCCCTTCCTGCCCCAGAAAGCAGTTTTTGAGGGAGTGCCCTGATACAACGCCAAAATCTGCCTCAGCCCTCTTTGATTCAAACCCTCTTCAGCTCCTCCTGGCTGAGGTTTTGTTTTAAAGAAATTTGGGGCCACTAACAGCAAAGACATCTCGAGGCAAGATGGATAGATGCCAAAGCGGGCACTGGAGTGCAGCCAGAGCCTTACCTCGGGGACATAGTTGTCCCTCCTCTCCCTCTCCTCCTCCTGCAGTTTGATGGAGATGCCTCGGACAGGTCCCCTCTGAATACGCTTCATCAGGTGGGTGACATACCTGTGGGGGACACAGGACCGTCCAAAGCTTCCCCTCGCTGCCAGAGCCCACGTCTCCCTTCTCCACCCTCGCACTCCCGAAGTCGGAGCTGGTGACCTCAGAGATGTCCCAGCACCAGCCCCGGAGATGTCCCAACCACCGACTCCGGGGGCGTCCCACCACCTCCAAGGCACGTCAAGGACGGAGAAGTGTCCGACAGCAACAGGGTTTGGGAGGGAGGGGACAGACCCCCCCAAACACGGGAAAGCTGCCGGGGTTCCTCTACCTGCACTATCGATGACCAGGCCACGGGCAAGACCGCGATCACTTTCGAATGCAGGTTCCGGCAGAGATCCCACCCGTGCCCGAACACCACGCACCGCCCCGTGCCTCACCCCGCGATCTTGTTACGCAGCTTCTTGCTGGGGATGATGGCGATCTCCTCGCACACCCGCTTGTTGGTGTGGAAGTCGTTCCCCAGGCGGGTGTAGTACTTCTCGATGATCACCCGGGCGGCCTTCTTCACCGTCTTCGTTC